AAGCCATCCGCTCACCCTGAGAGATAATACCCTTTAAGGTGTATAACAAGACAGGTGTGCACAGGACCCTCCCAACCCTGTTCCCTCCCCTGCCTTGGGCCGCGACAGTCCCCTTTTCTGGTCAACGGCCCAGTGGGTGATAAAGGCTGAGAGGCACAGAAGGAGGACCTCAGCTTCCTTCCTGGCTGTGTCCCACCAGGCAGGACATCAGCCTCTCTGGGACTGCACCCCACCTGTAAATGTGGTGGTGGCTGTCCTCTGCAACCTCGGGAGACTGGCAGAATGAGCTGTCAGTGAGGGGTTTCTCACCTCCTGCCCTGGCCTCCCCTCCCCTCAGAGTCAGACTGCCGTGGCCTCGATGGCTCTCCCCGCCGTCCCTCACGCAGGTCATCCTGTCTCCTAGGACCCGGACTAACACACAAATTATGTAAAATAAAAGTAACAAGTAAAGCTCAGGTTTCTGTCTGTTGCTACCACATAAGAAATCCAGACTACACAGAGAGTTGTGAAATTTGCAGGACTTATTTGGGGTAGTCTAGCTTAAAATACAGGCTAAGTGCCCTTTACAAAATTCATTTTGCACGTCCCAGTGGCCCCTCAAACAGCTGAGCTGTCACCTTTCAGAGGGGCTGGAACACCAGTGTCTGGAGAAGGAGCGGTGGTTTCAAAGACGTGCCCCAAATCAAGAGTTGCACGGGCAGGTATGGGGGTAGCACTTGAGTTGCCTGTCCCAGAGGCGGCCCTGTGCTCCTGGGGAGCAGCAGCACCCGGTCGTTCATTCGTGGTGGTGGGAGCTTGTCCCAAGGAGCAGCGGGGCAGGCCGACCACGCTGCCCACGCCGGCCGTGGCACAAGTCAGGAAGGTCACACACCGCCACAGACAGGCAGGCTCTGCAGGTGTGGTGAGGGGAAACGTCCGTGGTCTCCATTTTGAAGTTTTTCACAATAGTGTGCTTAATCAGAAAAAAATGAAGATATTTTCATTGTCTGGAAGTTGTTTGAGAGTATGGAAGCAAGGGCGGTGCAGCTGCAGCAGGCGGGATGAGCTAACTTGGAGGACAAGAGGGATTCAGAGGGACGCTGACCTCGTGTGCTCTAGGGGGCTGGTGGAAAGTTGTGTCTGTGACCGTGAGGACCCGGGATCTGACTGAGCAAAGGACAGCAGTGCTGATGCATGAATTTAACTAAGGATGCTACCTGGAGCTCCAGTCCAGGCTGCCAGCGGGTCCAGGCTGGATGGAGCAGGGGTCAGCGGGGTCAAGGCCACCTAGGTCTCTGAGGTTTTCCTCGTCTCAGGAGTGGCCCTGGGCTAGGAGTGAGCGAGCTGGAGAGACGAGGATGAAGAAGAGCCTGAGCATTTGGCGTCTGGGTGCTTTTTCCACCCCAGCCCATCCTCCGGACCCAAGCTGATTTGTGACCTCAGGAACAGACCCAGGGGCTCCTGTGGCTGCCTCCGCTCTCCCCAGGCCAGGCTGCTAACCTCAGGATATGGCTAGTCATGGGGTGGGTCACGGTGGAGGAGGAGGAAGAGACAGAAAGAGTCAGTAATACAGAGAAAGGGACAGAGACAGGGAGAGAGACCCAGACAGGCTCAGAAACACAGAGGGACAGAGAGAGGCAAAGGGAGAGAGACAGAGACAGAGAGAAATTAGAGGCAAGACCTACCATCCACTCATTTGTTTGCTGGGAGCAGACAGGGAAGTCGGTACAGGTGGATGCGGGTGGAGAGCGGACAGAGCTAGAGATGATATTATATGAAGGGGCCAGCTGGGCGCAGTGGCTCGCACCTGTAATCCCAGCGATGCGGGAGGCTGGGGCAGAAGGTTCTCTTGAGCCCAGGAGTTCAGGGCTGCAGTGGGCTATGATTGAGCCACTCACTGCCCTCCGGCCTGGGCAACAGAGCGAGACTCTGTCTCTAAAAAATAAATAAATAAAATAAGGGGGACCCAAGCATCAGCATTGTGAAGAACAAACATTTTCTGTCACTTACTGTGTGTTTAGCACCGCACTAGATGCTGCAGAAAACAAAAAGGTGCAGGTCAGGTCCCTGTCCTCGCCAGGCATACCTAGTTGGGAGATCCAGCCCCACACTCGGGAAAGACTAGCAGCAGGCTGCGCAGCCTTTCCCAGGGCTGGATGGGGGTAGGGGCTCCCGCCCAGCTGAGGTTGCTGCGTGTCTTGGTGGAGGAGCTGAGTTTGAGCTCCTCTTGGAGAGCAGGTGGGAGGCAGAAAGACATGCCTGGATACAGTTAGGAGGGCCTTGAATGCCAAGCTAAGGTGGCCGTGGGCGCTCCGGCCATGCCTGAGCAGAGGAGTGAGGCAGGAGAAGCTGTGCTTTAGGCAGGCCTGCAGGGCAGCACAGTAAGGTGAAGGAGAGAATTGCAGGCTCCCCTGACCCCTCCGGCCCCCCTCCTGATGCCTCCGACCTGCGGCGCCCTCTCTCTGGAAGGCCTCTCCCTCATGGGAAACACTAAAACACAGTTCAATATTCTTCTCCTGGGTCTCCTAGTCCAGGAAGCCTTCAGGCAGGGACATGTCCCCCTCCTGCTCCCCCAGCCTGAGAGCCAACATGAAATCCCCCTGGGCTCAGCTGAGTTGAGTCATGGTTTTGACCAAGATCAGAAAATACACTTGGCCCCATCAGCATCTTTGCCTTACCACACCCAGAATTTGCCTGTCCCCAGCAGGAAGCCCTGTCAGCTGTCTGGCCTGAGTGTCCAAGCCCTGAAAGAGGAGGAATAGGCCGGGGAGGGGGAGTGACAGGGCAGGGCCCATTTGCTTAGAGGTGCTTTGGGCTGGCTTGTCATGGAGGTGACTCACTCCCCAAAGGAGGGAGTGGCACAGGGGACGGCAGGGCTGGGCAGGGGAGCCGTGGTGGGGAGAGCCTGCCTCTGTCCTCAGTCCTTGGCTGGACCTCAGGAGACCAGGCTGGGCTGGACGCTGCTTCCTCTTGTCCCCTCAGGCCCTTGGAGGAGGAGAGAGAACCTCCTGCAGAACCCAGGCTCGTCCCCAGTGCTCACGGTCCCCGCCCGACGGCTGTCCCCCGACCCCAGCCGGAGCCATGGATAAATTTCGCATGCTCTTCCAGCACTTCCAGTCCAGCTCGGAGTCAGTGATGAACGGCATCTGCCTGCTGCTGGCCGCGGTCACCATCAAGCTGTACTCCTCCTTCGACTTCAACTGCCCCTGCTTGGCGCGCTACAACGCCCTCTACGGCCTGGGCCTGCTGCTCGCGCCCCCGCTCGCCCTGTTCCTCTGCGGCCTCCTTGCCAACCGGCAGTCCGTGGTGATGGTGGAGGAGTGGCGCCGGCCCTCGGGGCACCGGAGGAAGGACCCAGGCATAATCAGGTGCAGTCCCATGCCACTCCGTGACCCACGGCACTGCCGGGGCTCCCCCACCCCGCAGGCACTGCCAGGTGCACCCGCAAAGCCCAACCACCCCCAGTGGACGTTGTGGGGGGCTCCCCCCACCCCCAGGCACTTCCAGGCATGCTCCCATCTTTCCCCAGCTAGGAATCGTCAGCTCACAGAGACCTATTGCCAGTTTCCACTTTGGATACATTTATTTCTGGTCTGTCATTTGCCACCTCTCTGTGGCCAGTGCTGTAAACATAGGACGATCTGGGATTCCCAAGGATTACCCAGGCCACCGTAGGAAAGAAGGGAAAACTTTTGTATCCTCTGAAGGTTCTCGAAAATCAGGTGACAAAAGGCAGATTAATAGGAGAAAAGGCATTCTGATTCATTTGATCATAGTTTTACATGACACAGGAGCCTTCAGAATGAAGCTCCAAGATACAGGACAGGGGAAAGTGTCCATAGTTATGTTTAGGTTGAACAAAGTGGGGACAGCCATGTAGAAATACGACTGGACAAAAGGGTATGAGCTAATGCTAATAGGCTGAGTAGGGACACCCAGCAAGGCTGTCTAGATTCTTCTCAGCCTTTCTGTGCAGCATTCCTTCCCTCTTGCGTGTGGGGCAGGACCCTCCCTGGAATGGGGGTCTTATGACCTACAGTCAAACACGGTAGGTCAGATCATTTCTTTACAGCCAGTTTTTAGACAGAAAGTCAGGGGGAATGTTAGAGTAATATTTTTAGGTTTTCTGGCTGTCTTGGGGGAAAAGGTTCTGGTTTCTGTTCTAGTTTCTATGGCTAGCCTTGGGGGAGGATGAGGGGCCAGAGACAGGAGGGCAGGAGAAGGTCAGAGAAAAACTTCCTTCTGAAGCTGCTTCTGAGGCCTTCCTTTTGGGGTAGCATTTTCTGAGCCCCAACATCACATCTGCCATGCTGGCCCTGGATTATAGCTCACCACGCACAGGGAGGGCCATCCCAGACATGCACAGCCATTTTTCACATGTAGTGAGAGGCAATGATTTGCTTAAAGGCTGCATCTCCCTACCTGGTGCACACTGTCCTCAAAGCCTGGCACATGGCTGGTGCCGCGTACCAGGATCAGCTGGTGGAGCGCAGCAATGCCCGGTGCCCCCTGGCTGGCTGCACACCACACCAGGGCCGCGCTCTGTGCTCAGTGCTCTGAGTGAGCGCACCGCCTCTCTGAATTCTCACCTGGGCCCTGAGTCTGCTCCTTCATCCATTTTTAAGGATGAGGAAACTGAGGCCCAGAGAAGTTAAGTAGCTTGACCAAGCTCCCACAGCTAGGCAGCGGCACTGCTCAAGTTCAAACACTGGCCGACTCCACAGCCCAAGCTGAACAGCTGCCCCTGGTGTTTTGGAAAAAACATCTAAGTGTGAGCCGTGGCAGGAGTGGCTTGATGGGCATTAGCTCACCCACCGTCTCCTCCTCTCCCCTACTCCCTGATACGGACAGTTGAGATGTTCTCAGACACGTCTAACATGACTCCGTAACAAGGCCCTGTTCCACCTTCGAATCACGTTGCCCTCCAGAGGAAACACTGGAGCCACCGCTGCCTGCGACATATTTATAATTCCCCACTGGGCAGGTCACGCATGCACACACTATTTTATGTTTTGTGTATGAGCCAAGTTAGAGCCAACATCTGCATCCTGTGCACGGCAGCCTGTTTCAAGTTTTTGGGGATGACACATTCCCTGTGACTCAGCCGCGAGGCGGGTCTCACGCACTGGGCTCTCTCCCTTTTCTCTGGGGTCCGGTGGGAGCAGCTCCACTGGGCTCCTGCTCTGCGACCAACACCCAGCCCAGGTCACCAGAGAGGCACAGTGGGTGAGGAAAAGGCGTCTGAGGCCAATCAGAGGGTGGGCTCTGGGGATGCCCAGGGCGGGGGCGGCGATTGAGGTGCTGCCTTTGGGAGAGTTGTTGGGCAGGGCTGTCTTAGTTTAGGCTCCCCCCAAAAGCAGGCTCTGTAAAGAATGTGATAGTGAGTGGGCAACTGGGTTCAATCCTTCTGGCGACCCTCTAAGAGGGTGTGTAGGACACAACTAAGGCGGTCTAGGAAGCTGGTATTTATCCACTGGGCCCGCCCCTCTTGGGCTGAAGTTGATTCGGGGATTAACTTTTCAGTCTTCCAGCCTACCCCTCTCAGGGGCTGAGAATCCTCCAGAGCCCTGGGGCAGAGCAAGGCAGATGCTTGAGGTAGGGGGCCTTCAGGCCCGCCACATGAATAGAACTGTCCCCTAAGCCATAGATGCCCCTGGCACGGGCAGGGCACCTGTGGTGTCTGCTACAAGGCCTAGAGCAGGAGGAATACCAACTCCTCAGTGCTCCAGTCCTGGGATATCCAGCGGCTCCCGCCCCTCCTTCCTCCCTGCCTTCTGTTGCTGAAACCTCTACACTGGAAGCTGCAGCTTGATGCAACCCGCCCGGATTTCCCAGCCCTCCTGGGAAGTCCATCCTTGCATCTGCCCTGTAGCCTTCCTGCTGCAACTGAATTCCAGTGTCCCTTTGTGACCCCTCTTTCCTCTGTGCCTAGGTACATGTGCTTCTCTGTGCTACAGAGGGCGCTGGCCGCCCCCCTGGTCTGGATCCTGCTGGCCCTCCTTGACGGGAAGTGCTTCGTGTGTGCCTTCAGCAGCTCCGTGGACCCTGAGAAGTTTCTAGACTTTGCCAACATGACCCCCAGCCAAGTACAGCTCTTCCTGGCCAAGGTACCCTGCAAGGAGGACGAGCTGGTCAGGGACAGCTCTGCTCGGAAGGCAGTGTCACGCTACTTGCGGTGCCTATCACAGGTAATTGGGGTGGTCCTCCCCACCCTGGCACCCTTGCAAATGTCCTGCATTGGCTCTGGGGTGGGGTGGGGTGGTAAGGACGTACAAATGAGTCCTGAAGCTCCTCCCTTCTCTGGAGACACAACCAAAAAGCAGGTGGTGCATGGGGAGATCCAGAGCATGACAGGACAGTGTGGGGCCTTTGACACAGACCCTCCCCAGGTCAGAGACCAAGTGCCCATACCCTCCTGGAAGTCAGCTAGGCCCCTCCTGGGAGGCTGGATGACAGGAAAGCGCTGGAGATACGCTCCCACAATGCAGGTCCTCCCCGGATGCCTGGCTCTGCACAGGGCACCAACTCCATTATCCCGGGGGGCAAACCCCAGCCCCACCCCCAGCCCAGACTCTGGGTTCCACCGCCTCCTCTGCCAGGACCCCAGTGCTGGGCTGTGCCCATCAAAAATTATTTACGTGGATCCATTACACACGAGCACCACTACAGCAATAGATAATAAAGACACAACCCGTGCCCTTTGGGGAGTCAGACAGGCTCAGGGTAAATGCAGGCCCATGGTGCAGTGGAAGGAGGACCAGTGCTCAGCACGCACTTATTTCTGCTTCAGACTGTGACCTTGGCCATGGTATTGCCCCTCTGGGCCTCAGTGTCTCCTGCAAAATAAAGTGGGGTTTGGTCTTCTCCACCGTGATGGTCCCTGCAGGCTTTGATATTCTAGCTCTTCCCAGCTCAGTGGAAAAAGCACGGAATTTGCAGCCAGACCAGGGTGAGTTTTCAGCCACATAAAGTTTAGCAAGGTGTTTGGTTTTCTGCTTCTCGTGTATGAAATACTCACCTTAAATTTCGTGGTGGTGGGAATATCCTATGAGAGGCCAAATGAGAGAGATTTGTAAATCGTGGAAATCACGTCTCTAAATGACAGGGATTCCAATGTGTCTTTGTAGTTTGGTGAGTGACTTCTCTGCTCCAGGCCCACACAGCTTCCCAGGCCATAAGCTGGCCTTGAAGAGACTGTGGCTTTGGCGGGTGGAGAGGAGGGGGAGGCGTCTGCCAGCCTTAGAGAACGACTTCCTCACTCTTGGCCTGGACGCTGTTGCCTGCTCACATGCTGGGTAACTGTACCACTCATCCTCCAGGTCTCAGCCTCAACATCACCGTTCCCTGAGATCCCAAGTTCAGGTCGGGTATCCCTCCTCTGAATTCCTGTGATGCCCTGCACGGTTCTCATGATGACACGTAGTCAGTCATCATCTATTTAATTGTCTGTTTCTTCTGTGGGAGCAAAGACGTGACCTCCTGTGTCCAGCACAGTGCCTCCCACGAAGCACAGCAGGGATGGGCAGGATGGACAGCTGAGCACACAGGAGGATGATGGACTGGATTAAAAAGATGAGGGAGGCCAGGCGCGGTGGCTCACGCCTGTAATCCTAGCTCTTTGGGAGGCCGAGGCGGGCGGATTGTTTGAGCTCAGGAGTTCGAGACCAGCCTGAGCAAGAGCGAGACCCCGCCTCTA